TGGCCGCACACGCCGTCTCACAGAGGTGTGAGAGGAGGGGGCTGCCCTGCCTCCGCCCCGGCTTCCAGGGGGGCAGGATCCGGCCCTCCCGGTGATGGTGCAGTGGTGCCCAGGCCTTTGTGAGCGCCGGACGGGACTGCCTCCCGCAGCGCAGCTCGTCAGCCGCCTCTTGCCCGGCCGGCTAGAGCAAGGGGAGCCGGAGAAGACAGAAGAGAGGGCTCTGCGATGTGGAGAGGGTAGGGGACACAAGCCGAAAAGGAGCTTGGTCCGAGAGCCAGACAGCGAGGAAAGGAAAGGGTAGGGATTACAGCAGAATGAGAGCGGCCAGGCAGCCGGGAATCGAGGAGAAAGAGGGAGCTCTGTCAGGTCAGCGGCAGGATCGGCCACCCCTGAGCCGGTGTAGCAGCCAGGCACAGGCAGGAGCAGGAGGCTTTAGGAAAAGCTTCAGCACGCTGACTTTGCCAGGCGGGCTGGTTACAGACTGAAAGAAGAAACAGACACGCTTGGATGAAGTGGCATGTATTTCCCACCACCACCAATTTATCCCACATAAAAGACCTCAGGCTCTTCACTCTTCCTATTCAGATTTAGGATTCACAAGCAGTAAATTCAGCTTTTAGTCATAACACCTCTTACCCACCACCCACCCACCTCTTTCCTTGCTCTTTCACTCTGAGTCATCTTCAACACCGGCGCCTGCCTACTGCTCCCTTCCAGGGTTTCGCGGCCTCATCTGGGGCTTCAGCAGCTTCCAGCTCATCCTCCCTCCTTGCCTCTCTCCCTGCCTTCCTCCCTGCCATTTGGCTGCTTCCAAGCATATCCCGCTTCACTGAGTTGGTCTGGAGTGCCAGCGCACCCACAACTACCACTCCTTTCCTACTAGCCATAGTAGTATGGTGATAAATAGCATCCAGGGACTGGTGAAGGAGTACATGGTGTAGATAAACATGACGTTACATTCCTCCCTCTTTTTAAAGAGCTTCATTATCTGGACATGTCTGGCTAGGTCAGGACTTTTCCATGAAGCTAAAAGGCTGGGGTGTTGACACCTTTCTCCTTCCATTAAAGGTAGTTGATGATTACTGGCAGCGACCGCCGGTTCAGAGCATGCGAGATCTATGCAGAGAGAGAGGTACCGCTGCAGTAGGAAGACCTTCCAGTCTCCTCTAGTCCTGGGCTTTTGAGACAGGGCTGCCTGCTGCTGGTGTTGTCGACCTCCGGCAGGCAGAGGCTTCCGGCAGGCAACAGGTTAGCCATAGCTCTGTGCTGAGAGATGGAGGCAGTCGGCGTCAGCTTGCTCCCCTCCAGCCTCCCAGCTGCTGCCGCCCGGCGATAGGGCAGGCGCTGCTGTCCTTTTTCATGGCAGAGAGAAAGCAAATAAGCGAAGGGGTGTGTGTGTGAGTGAGAGTGAGCGTGTACGTGTGTGCACAGAAAAGGGAGAGAGGCTATCCAACATGGATTCAAGATTTTCCTCTCCCCAGTGGCTGTGCAAAGGAATGAAAGGTCTGCATCAAGGTAAGGAGCCCTAATCCAGCCAGTGGTACACTCCACTCTGGAAAGAGAAGTGGGGGTTGGGAAGTGGAGGGGCCAGGGTAAGAGACAGAGTGCAAGATGGGGAGGAAGCAGGGAGACAAAAGGGAGCAAGAAAGAGAGAGAGGCTCTCGCCCGGTCCTCTCCCCTCCTCCCTCCTCGAGGTGGGCTGAGAAATTTCTAAGCAGCACTCGCAGTTCCTTTCCTCCCAGCAGTAACTCCTCTCTGTCCTTTGTTTGTTTTTAATTTTTGGCTCTTGCGTTTATCTTTTGTTTGGTTTTGTGCGCTGTGGCTCTTTACTGCAATTTCAAAAAATCCTGCGTGAGGTACAATGGATTTGGTTTGGCTTCTCTTCCTCCTGCCCTGCTCTCCCACATGCTTAAAGCTAGTGTTTTAATAACAACAGCAAAAGGATGAAGAGCAGGTCATCCTTTTCTCCCTTTTGTGAAGTGACATGGGTTAGGATATGTGTGGGACTGTGTTCTTCTCATTCTAGAAAAAGAAGGTAAGATTTGTCAAGTATCCTTAAGCCCCTGTGTAAAGCTGTTTCTTGTAAACTACCATGTGCAGCTTGATTCTGGAATGAATCCTTCCCTTGTGTTTGCCATTATTGTTATTAATACTGTAATTCCTAATGCATTTAAAACTAGAGAGAAGTGTTGCACTGGAGACTGAACTCCAGTTTTACGTACAGAACAAGCAGAGCAAAATTTTTTCCACTTCACGACTCGGGCTAAGCCTGGAAAGATTGCAGTTAGAAGACTCCACATTAGAATGTCATCTTCTCTCCCTTTTAAGTAATTTTTCACCAATAGTTTAGCACTCGGTACCTGTTTACTCTTCCTGTGCAGAAGAGCCACTGCAATGCAATGGTATAATACAAAGTGGGCTAGAGTTACTACCTCTGCTTTCCCAGACACAGTTTAAGAGGGCAGGCAGAGGGGACATGCAGGAGCAGAGTTGTGCTTTGCCCTTTCCTGGCCAACTGAGCAGACTTCTTGGGAAGGCAGGGAAATGGATGGACTGTTTTATCTGCCTTGATTTAAAATATTCACCTGACTTCCCTTGACTGGCTGCACACAGCATAAGCATAGTGTAACTGGGAAGAAATCTCACATTTTTCTTACTTTTTATTCCTGTGAGATGACCTCGAGTCAGACTGGCACTGGTGGAAATCGCAATGCCACCCTAAGGACAGGTGGCGTGGTGTTATAAGGCTTGGGGAGACCTCCCATTTCTTCTCCTTCGTTCTCAGGTTTCTGGTGGTGAACGATTGCTGAGTGATAGTTCTGGGAATGATTTCTGGGATGCTGAACCAAGGCTGTAAACCAGGAGCTGTCTGACAATTGTAACAGCTTTCAGGCAGTAATAAGACGGGGTGGGTTTGAACTGGTGGCCACAACTGAGATAATTCAGCTGGAAACATCCAGGGTGACTTTTGTAAATGTGTGAAAGGGGCAAGTCTTAAGAGAGTGTAATGAGCGCAGGGAAGCTGGTGAAGAGAGACTGATACCCAGAGAAGCCCATGAAATGTCCTGAGCTCTTGTGAAAGCTCTTACTCAGTCCTTGCCATTTCAGGGCTGCATACTTCCCCAGAGAAGTCGGGAGCATGGAGTGCCTGGGGGATGGCATCACAGAGAACGGGGAAGACCAAGGAATAGTCCAGTGTCCACTGCAGTCAGCTTGCAGAGTCTGAGCCATGTCCTACATGGAGTGTTTTTGTACTGAGGTTCTGTGCTGGGTGTGCAAGGCTGTGCTTTTCTCTGACTGCTTTGTTTTTGCCTCTTTCCAGGTTAATCGGTTAGGGAGCTGAAATTCTCAGTTTTGCTGTGGAGCTGTAAAAGGCAGTACCGTGCTTTCACCTCAGCTGCAGCTGACCTATTTAGGCATTGGTTTCTTGCTGGCTAAAAAAGTTGTCAATTAGTGGCCACAGAGCTAAGAACTCAAGTCTGACAGGAGCCAGACCAAGACATCCAATTCATTTCCCATAAGCCACTCAACACAATCTGATGGTGATGGCCTTTGCTGATAAATTGCGTGGATTGGATTTAGTCCAGCATGAGTAGACAAGAATCTGTGCAGCACAGTCTCAGGGATCCCACTGGCTCTCCATTCATCTGTTTACACATCTGTTCATAATCTCTGACTTTTCAGTCTTGAAGCCCAGATCTCGTACTTCCTGTTTCAGGCTTGATCCACATTTGAAAGTGTGGATGGTGTGCCTTTATTCAGCAGTGGAGCAAAGAACATTTTTAATTGGTGCTTAGTAGCCAAGGTACAAAAAAGAAGGATATAGCATCCTTTTGCCCAACAGTTTATTTTGTTTGGGGAAGTGATACAAACTACCCTAGGAGTGCTATCTCTTACCAGTGAACGTATGCCTTTCTGCCAAACCCCTTAGATATAGTCCAGGAGTAGTTCTCCTGAGGTGCCTGATTCTGGGCCCAAGGACTTCCGTGCTCCTGTGTGCACAGCTGACACTCCTGTCAATAAAGGTGCATAAAATTGGGGGATGTAATTTTTGTAGTTTCATGGCATCAGCTGTACTGCCTCAGGCAGGTGGTAGTGTGAACAAATAATTGCAAAGAAAGAGATGTGATGTGTGCACAGATAGGGAGACCTGTGCTGACCTAAAGAACAATGTGTGCTGCCTTCTCTTGGACTCAAGTCTTACCTTATGTGCTAGAAGAATGCAGTCCAAGACCTACTACACTGAACTACAGTATTTATCTTTGCCATTATTTACAGGGATTAGTGCTTCAGATCAACTTCATTCTAACTAGATGATCTTTAAGGTCCCTTCCAACCCAAACCATTCTGTGCTTCTATTCCTAAAGGCTAATTTAAGGCCATGTAGTGAAGCTAAATCTTCCTGGGATTCATCTTGCCTTGGGGAGTCATAGGCTTCTCTGTTGGGCAACTGAAAAGCAAGAGCCTAAGTTATCACCTCTCAGTTGCCTTCTCTCTTTCTCATGGAAGGCGCTTATGAAGATCAGGCTCACAAGGCTCAAATGCACCCTTACAAATACCCCTTCTATAATCACTTCCTGGAATTTTCTCTAATCACCACTAAAATTTATTAGTGGTAGCTTGTATGTAATGTTGATTGCATAGTTTGAATGCATCATCTGAGCATAGTTTAGGAAAAGATTCAGAGGGAGGAGACAAATGGACATTGCCAATGAGAAACAGACAAAACCCATACAATTATATTTCTGAAGTGTGATTATTTTTAAGCTCTTTCTCTGGGAGTGGATATATACAAATGCACAGACAAACAAAACCATGGATTCTTTTATTTCCTGGGAGTAAGGATATCTGTGTTTTTAAGATGCACTTGATTAATATTTGCAGACCTTTTTCTGGGGATTTAGGAGAACAAGAAAGAAGGAAAGCAAAATCATCACGTAGTCATGAGACTCCCATGAGCTACATTTTTCTCGTGAAAGTTCAAACATTGTGAAATTCACAATGAACAGGTTGCTTCTCTGGAGTGCAAGAATTACATTTCCATCACGGTTTTGAAATAAGGGCTAGTCTTTTTCTGTCTGCATTAGTGAAAACATAGCAGAGCACAATTCAGTTTCATTTTAGTCCTACTTGTATTAAACTAGACAAAGAGCTACCACCGTGCTGTCACTAAGCTTGTCATCCTTTTTCACATCTTTCATTCTCTTTTGCTCTGCTGTATAAACAGCCCAGAGTTCTGTCCTGTGTTATGTCTGAGGTTTTTCTTATCTTGGCTAGTCTCTTGAAGACCTCTCAGGTCAGCAGTTTCTTCTTGAAGTTGAGGAAGTTCCAAGCAGACCTCTGTAATTCACGTGCATGGATGTAACTGATAGATATAAAGCCACCATCTTTGTCTTCAGGCAGTCGAACATCCTGTTGGCCTTTTTGGTGGATGCTGTTACAGCAGTGACATACTACATGAATCGATTCTGAATGTTTTTGTTGGCAGAGGAAATAACAGGTGTATAATTTCCCAGTTTAGCCATATGTAATTATATATAATTTGGCTTAAATAGATCTAGAGTTTCCACTGCTCCAGTCTTCCAATCTGAGGCATGTGTTGCTCTTAAATGCCATTTCTGGAAAGGATCCGAAAATAATGCTTCAAAAGTTAACAGAGAGCTTGGGATAGGATATAGAAGATGCCAGATAATTTACTGCACATCTCTCAAATGCTTTTGGGTAGAAAAAGTATTCTCGTGTTTTCCCAAAAGCTGCTTTTCTTTTCTTGATACAGACATTCACATGGGGGTAGGGTGGGGAAAGTTAGTCAGATGAGAATTTTCTAAAGCTCAGATAATCATTTATTAAAGCAGTCCTTGGCTTGCCAAACTCATTAATCTCATTAACAGAGAAGGAGGGCTACAGTGCATGGTTAGCTGAAAGCACTGTGTTTACTAAGCAGTGTACTTCGTTCACAAGGGAAAGATTTAAATATTCACTGTGTCACTGTTTTATCCCTGAAGTTGAAGTAACGTGATGAGTCACTTGATCAGCTCATGTCACATGCTGGCTTTGGCCACAGACTGCGGTGGGGTCAGGCATAGAGTTGCCAGATACAGGTCTGACCTGGACCCCTTCATTTTTCAAGGTGTTCGTCATGTCTCTTGCATTGAGATGCAAGCTGGGAAGCACAGGTCTCTGGAGAGGAGAGGATAAGACAACGTCACCACTTGGTTCACCTTGAGAAGCAAGCAGTAACGTTCTCTTGGTGCTGCATGGCCCCCATGTTTCTGCCTCCCTAGTCCCTGGGAGAAGGAGGCCTGGGCAGAAATGTCCCAGCTGCCACGTCTTGAGTTATCTCTCTGCCTGTGCCTTGGGAAAGCGGGGGAGATGCTTCATGCCCCTGCCTCTCCTGTAGGAACATCTTGTTGGGACCTCAGCTCTGTTTTGTGGTACTGTGGAGAACACCCACACTTAAGCATTTAGATTTGGGTCCAGGTGCTTCTGGCAAAACTAGTGACATCTTCTGTGCATCTTCCACAGGGCACAAGTACAATGTGCATAATGTCATATGTCGTAATGTCAGTAACTTTTTGTTAGTATTGGTCACTATCTTGCTTCTCTGAAATATGCTTTCCCCTAGGTTCTGTCCATACTGTGTTTTTATCCTGTGACTCGTATTTGTAGACTTTGTCGTGATTTATAGTTTGGATATTGATAACTTTTTGAAATGAATATTCGGTCTTGGTCCAGCCTCTTTACTTTCCTTTGGCAAGATCTCTGCTTGCTTTTGCTTTTCAGGTCTTCAGCTGTCTCCAACTTGACCTTGTCCCTTCATGCCTGCTGTTGTCATACTGCTGATGCATTTATTGCGCTCTGTCTGCTTCAGCTCCAGTGCTTTAGTCTATGCCTTTTTTTTCCCATCCTAAAGATATCTCCTGTCATTTCACTTTCTTTTGCCAGCTTCCATCTCCTTTTCATCTCTAGCTTCTGGAGTGGGTGGTTTATTTTTGCTGACTCCATTTCCTCTCCTCTCTACATCATTTCTACATCTCCTGCAACCTGGCTCCAGCCCTTTGAAGTTATTTAGACCTAGGCTGAGACACCTTCTTCAGCTGCTCTCAGCTGAACATAAGCTTCCTGCTTCCATGATTGTCATCTTGCTTATCCTTGCTATACTTACCCCAATACTTTATCCTTACTCTGTCTCTTCTTCTTTCTTGGCATTTGCCCGTCTCTCCTACTGCTTCCCAACATCAGGAAGCCATTCTTCGTGCTCAGTCTTCCATTCTTCCCTAAGCTTCCCCTAAGTCCATCAGTCCTTCCTGATGTTGTGTAAACATCCTCTTCTGCTTTATTCTCTTGAATGTTTTCTTGTGTCTTGTCCTCTTTTTCCTTGTGCAGTGCTCTGGGCCTTGGGGTGTATGGTAACTGGGTGGAGGGAGCTGCCATCATCAACATTTCCCATACTGAAACTGGTTCCCTTTTCTCCTACAAACCGTCACTGTCAGGCCCTTCTGCTCCTCAGCTGCAGAGAGTGCCCCTGGTTACAAACTTCCTCTTTCCTAGATGCCCTCTCCTGCTCCTGGACTGTTCCTGTGCCCCCACGGGCCCGCATATCCCTGCTTGGGGAAGTGTCTGTGCATGTTTCTAGTGTTATGTAGGTGCTGTCAGTCATTGCTGCCTGCAGCGCAAGAAGGAGGGAAGCAATGAAGGGCATGTGTGGGAGGTTTTGGCCATTCCCCTGCAGGTAGATGGAGTACCTCACTCTCCTGAGGACTCTCTACTGGTATTGCTGACTGACTCTTGGCTTCTTCCTAAGCTACACAAGGATGTGGCAGCAGTCTCACGAGTCTTCTCTGAGGCCTTAATACACCAGCTCCAGGCTGCAGCTCTCCCGTCAGCTGGTAGATAAACATTATGTGTTGAGATCCATCTCTTCCCTGGGAATGTGAAAAACTTGAGTGTTTGGGCCATTTTTCTCCGCACCTCCCACATGGAGCAATTTCTCTCAGTGATACATGCCAGCCCTGGCAGGAGCTGTGCAATTTGGATCCACTCCTTCATGCATCTCTTAGAGTTTGGCAGAGCAAGCAGCACTAACTGGGCACCAGTGCACAACGGGCTGGGCTAGGCACTGTGTGCTGCCTGACTTTCAAAGAGGAGGCGTAATGCCATCAAAATTGGGAGGAGGGTGACTTACTCTGCCTTGGGATTGTTATGAACTCAGGATCTGGCCCCTTGGCTGACCTGCTGTAGAAGTGGAATAAGGCCATCCCTAAAATACCTCTTCCTTGTCTGTGAACCAGCCACAGAAGCCTTCAATCGTTACGCCACTGTGTTAGGGTTTCTACAAAGCTTAAGAATACTACATTTGAGCCTTCAGCCCAGTTGTGCTCTATTTTAACTTGTGGCTGTAGGCTATGAAAAAAGCAAACTTACTTCTACTGCCAACATCTGTGCTTACATGCATTGAGGAGTATTGCACCCTAGCACCTGAAACATATGGACATTTTAATTTTATGTATGTGGGGAGAATGATGCTATGATAAAATGCAGTAGCTCCCTCTTCAATTAATGCCAAGGCATATGACACTCATGTTTTTGTCTTTTAGCTGAGGTGGAGGGGTTGCAGGTCACCGTGCCTGAGAAGAAGAAGGTGGCCATGTTGTTTCAGCCTGCTCTGCTTCGCTGCCATTTCTCTACTTCTTCCACCCAACCAGCTGTGGTGCAGTGGAGGTTTAAATCTTACTGCCAGGACCGGATGGGAGAAGCTTTGGGCATGGCGACTTCTGGTTTACAAACAATGAGCAAGAGGAACCTGGACTGGGATCCCTACTTGGACTGTGTGGACAGCAGGAGGACAGTCCGCGTCGTGGCCTCCAAACAAGGATCTGCCATCACTATAGGGGACTTCTATAAGGAAAGAGATGTCAGCATTGTCCACGGTAACTCTCCTGCCCCAGTGATGCTTGATGGAGGTTGGAATGGACCCCTAGCAATTTGGGATACTGGAGGCTGGCAGTAATTGTTCAGTTAACTCACTTAGGCTGCTGGAAGGGAGCTCTTGTATGTCAGACATTTAGGATTCAACCAACCAACCCTAGACCCAAAGGTCGTTTCCTTTGATGCTTCCCTTCGTCTGACTCCATGTAGGTCTCCAACCCTGAGACAGTATTCTTTTTCCTTTGATGAAGTGAAAGGTTTTTATTCCTGGCTTCTGCATATTACTCTGTATATAGATTTCCCTTAACAAAGGCGTGCCAGCAAAAAGAAGTATGAATTCTGTCTCTGTGGGCTAGGTTTTTCTTCCTTGCAAACTCCACTGATCTTTTTTTTTTTTCCCCTGTTCTGAAATACTAAAATTATCCTACACCTCATGTTTGCTCAACTGTAGACTTCACCAGCTTACCGTGTCATGAACCTAAACCCACGCAGCCTTGGGCAGTGTGAAAGGAAGAGATTTCCATGGGGTGAAGTCAGGTTAGGTGGAGATGGGGGTTGGCAGGGTCCTTAAACATTTGGTCTGGAAAGCTGTGTGAGAAACCTTGTCCTTCAAAAGTACAAGGCTTCTGCTCTACTCAGGAGACCACCTAGCCAGAAGTGGAGGCTCCTTGGTGTGGAGAGCATGAGATCAGCCTCAGCAACGGGGAATATTTTCCTTTGCCTCCCTCTAGCCTCTTTGGCAGATGACTGAAGTGCTGTAGAGAAGACACTGTCTAAGCCCTTCTTGCATGGCATGAATACTGTTGGGACCCCAAGCCTTAGGTGATAGGAAGGACAGAGAGTGGCATTAGTTACCTTTTCTGCTCTCAGCACTTGCAGAGTGAGCTGCCTCTGTGGCACTACCAGCCTGCCCACTTAGAGCCACAGAGTCCTGACCCTGTTGTTTTTTCCTGAATATTGTGATATTCTGATAAGATCAACACCTCTTCTTAGTAAGGAAATGAAATGGATTTGGGACATAGAAATGAACCTAGTGCTTTCACTTTTCCTATAGGTTTGGGAGGGAAAGCCTGACTTTTCGTTATTGCCTTTCAGATGCAGATCTTCAGATTGGGAAGTTGATGTGGGGAGACAGTGGGCTCTATTACTGCCTTATTATCACACCGGATGATGTGGAGGGCAAGAATGAAGAATCGGTGGAGCTGCTTGTGCTCGGTAAGCCCCCTTGCCAGATTGCTTTTTCAGCACATCGCTGATGTGTCTTTCCTTCTGCTCTCTCGCTTTCTTTACATATCTGTGCACCGTATTACTATGGGTGTAAGATCTATGTAAAATAGTCCCTGCAGTACCTTCACCATTGCCTTGCACCTTGTGCAGTCATTCACACCTAGGCAAAGTGGGCGGCAAACGCTACCAAACCAGAATAGTAATGTTTACACCCACACTGCTCACACCTTACACAGGCGTAAATGACTACAGAAAGTGCAGGGCTGTGGAAAGTCAGAATACTTGTTTTTAAGGCATAAAACAATAAACTTGCAGCAAAGTGAACGCTTAAGACAGTCTTTTAAAAATAGACACCCAGAAGGCATAAAATTGTGTGCGTTTTGCAATCTTTTAACATTCCGTTTGTCCCACTCTTCTGACCTGTGAGGATTTCAAGAAGCACTGTGTTTGCTTGTGTCAGTTTGGGAGATTTTTCTGTCTGCCTAATTATACTTGTCCAGTTAGAGGTGCAGTTTCAGAGTCACTCTAATCAGGTCTAAGCTGGTGCTGGTTTTAAAAGGACCTGTCGTCTCTGCGGTGTCCATGCTTGGCTCTGTTTCTGTTAAGCTCCCTTGGGCAGTGCGGTGAGCAGGATCAGTTTCTTTCTTATTTGCCGGGTTAGCTTTCAGTGATGGCTTCCACAGTCCAGCTCACTGTAGAGGTCAAAAAAGCACCCATCCCAGCTAGGGGAGACAAGCAGAGTGGAATGGACCTTTCAGGGACGTATGTTGAGACTGCCTTGAGACAGCTGTAGTACTTCACCCCTGGACTGCCCCAGGAGAGTAAGATGGGTTTTTCCCAACTTACCTTAAGACCTGGCACCGTCAATGTTCGTCTGGTCAGCATGCTTGCATGGTTCTTGTGTGTACGGATTCTGTACATCCTGTAAAGGAAATGTTAAAAAGCTTGGGTCTATAGTGTGTAGGTGATACATAGAGACATACGATAGAACATGTCTGTCAAGTGCCTTTGCTCTCATGACTAAGGTCAGAGTTTAATTGGCATTTATATTTGGAGCTGTAGTTGTCATCACAAAGTAGGCCAGATTGAATGGGTTAGTGACTCTAACAGTGCCGTCACCTCCCCTCACTCCTGCAGATGTCAGTCAAGCAATGGACAATTGGAGAATGAGTCCCTCTGGAAAACAGTGTCATACCCCTGTCTAAATCCAGAGAGTGACTGTGTATCATATGCTAATTAATAACAGGCCCAAAACTGACCTGTGTTAGTTCAGGTGAGGTTATCTCTGCCAGGTAGCAGTTGTAGCTGTTACATAACCTCTCCAGAGGAGCTGTCTGTGGTTGTGTGGTGACGGGCTGCTGAATTTTGTCCCTTCTTCACCTTCCTGTTCAGGAATTGGTGTCTTCCTCTTATGTGTGTCTACAACTGTGCTCAGACACCAGTGATGAAACAGTGCCATGGTAACAGGAAGAATCTGTTTTTCAGTGAGTACGGAAGATTTTGTGGGGAGGAAAACAAAGAAATCTCCTCTTCTGAAGATGGCCAGATGATGTCCCTGGCCCCAGTTCGCTGTGGTTATCTTGGGAGGAAACATGTAGCTTAGGCTGTGTTACCTCGACCGCATCAGCTTTTCTGTTCACTACAGCCTGTGGGTCTGACCTTGTACTTTGTGCAGCACTCTGCTAAGTTTGGCAGCAGCATGAAAGCATACTTGTCGTAGGCATACTTTGTTCTGCCTCATGCTGTTTGGCGCAGCTTGTGTGTATTTCTTTTCTTGGGTAGTGTGTACGGAGGCAACATTCCAGCTTTCAGAGCGACTCCAGGTTACCTACCCGTTTTCCTTCCTCTCCTTCCTTCCTCTCCTTCTGCCTTAGCTGGTATTTTTTCTTCCTTTTCCTTTACCTCTCCCCATTGATGGCTAAAGGAGGAAGCAGCCACTGGTGAAAATACAGTTTCTTAATATTCTGGCATCTTCTGGGACATTTTTTATTCCATCCCACTGCTTGGAGGGAGATAGTGAGTACAGATGTAGATCGGAGTGATTCCACAGTCTTAGGGGATGTGTGGTAAAATGATTTTGTTTGCTGTTTTGCTATTTGCTGCTCTTTGGGTGGAACACAGATTCCCTGTTAGAGCAACTGGAGCAGTGGAGGTAATTGTGTCTGTGAGAGACACTACGATTCCCACAGCACATTGCTGTTTGCTCCCTGCTGACAGTGGTCTTTCAAATATAATTTACATTGCTTATTTTTGGGCTGCTGCATGATTTAAGCATAGATTAGAATTTTGAATAGAGCAGAGGTTCTACCCGCTCATGTTATCAGTGGGTGAAGTCAGGAAAATCAGAATGGAAAAGGAAATGGGAAAATATCCCTTCTAGTGGTTTCACATTAACGCCAAGTTGAAAGGTGTGTTTAGGCTAGAGAAAGATACTGCTGGACAAGGCAGTTTAATATCAGGTAGAGACCTTGAAAGGTCTGAGAGGCAAAAATGGTAGATAGCTAATAGCATCAATAAATTAATGGAAATTTGCATAGCTAAAAGTGGAGGATCCTGCTTTTATACAGTGAATTGCACCATTAAAAATTGGTCAAAAGCCGCTTCATCACAACTTGGAGGAAAATCCAACACCTGAGCAAATTACAGTATTTCTTTTTTCTTAGGAAAGCAATCACAGAGACTTCCAGTGAAGTTTAAGTAGCCAGTCAGCCTGGGTCATGATGGGAATGCATGTTGGGTTTTGTCATCTGGATGCGTCCTGTTTACAGACAAAGCGGCTGGAAAACTCTAGGTAGCAGCAGAGAATCCTGTGTGCTTTTCAGACCTATTTCAGAAAAGCATATAAGCATTTATTTATAACCATTTGCGCTCAGCAAAGCTGATGGGACTTATAAAGCATACCTGATGTCAAGCATGTGGTTATGTGCTTTGCTGAAAAGACCATTCAGTAGGTTTTGCTTAGTTAGGCGCTTTAGCCCTTTCTAACGGAATCAATGCAGGCAAGGGAAGAGGGGTAATAACCTCTGTGCCTGAGAAACACAGGAGATTGGCTGGTAGTGAACCTCATGTAGAGTAAGGAAAGAATTGAAATTAAAAAGTACCATTACACTTTTATTAAATATTGGTATTTTGGTGACCTTTGGAATCTCCAAATGGGGTCTAGCATGCTGGAAACTGTGTGAACTCTGTTTCAGCTGCAGCAGAACTAGACTATTACGGAGCTTAGCAGTTCCAAAACAGGAGTCAAGTGATGCTCTCTGCATTTATGAGTTTTACGAGGAATGTAGAACCCTTTGCTGGTATTACAGCTGGGCTAGTAATTGCAACTTCACACATTTTTATTTTTTAGAACTAATGTGATTGAATCAAAAAGGCTGAATTCTAAGTTTAAGAAAGTCTACCTTTCTTTCTTAGTAGCTAGCAGCTGAGTGTCCTGTTTCTTGAAACACAGACAGCGCTATTAATCTAGTTGTTATTTGTAGCCCCTGTGCACTGCTTTTTATATGAGAATGTCAGTGGGCTTCAGTAAAGTTATTCATTGCAGCCTTTGTTGAAGAGAACTGCACGTGTACCAGTGCAGTGGATGCAGGGTGCCTGGAGTAACCTTCGAATGAGAAGTACCAAGGCAGTGTCAGCGGATACCCCATCCTAGCTTCATGTGACCCAGCTCACATCGGGAAGCAGTCTAGCTTAATTGCATAGGATTGCCTTTCCAAGAGCCAGAATTTACTAATCGGGTGCAGGGTCCTTTGAAAGCAGCTATACTGCTCCCTTCCCAAGCTCGTACAGCTATAGAGCAGTAGCTGTAGGTATATCTAGGCACAGCTGGCTACCCTGAGATGCGTAGGTCTGTGCAAGCTCGGCAATGTTTGCATGATGAGATTTTACATAGCTTAGATAAGCTTCACAAAACAGTGGCTTCATTCCCAAGGACATGTCAAGTTCCTGGAAGAGGCAGGAAAGCGATCCACTAATCCCAGTTGTTGGTTTGATACTTTGGTTAGTGATCCATGTGCTTTGCTAGACAGCTGTTGCCTGTTTTTTTTCCCATCCAATTTGGCAGCTAATACTACATAAATTATATATTAGTGAAATATTATTTTATAATCAATCTTTCAGAAGCTTCAGCTTCTACCGTTGTTAGACTTTAAATAAGAACAATTAGCACTTGAGGTTTTTGCTAATTTCTGAAGTCAGCTAGCACTTAAAATTGGTAAACTGACATCTTTGGTAGTTTGTATTGCCAGCCAATATCAATATAGGCTAAACCCCAAATTTATGAAGTCTAACACCCATAGGTAGGAAAGAATGTAGGTACATATACACACAGCATGTTGCACAGTAATTAATGTGCTAATAAAGACATGTGTTGGCTTTCAGAGAGGATAAATCTCTACTGGGAGGTGTGTGTATGGAGTGCAATGCTAATAGGACAGTTCTTACTCAGCAAAGTGACTCAATAGCTGGTATAAATATAGCCAGGTTTGGAGTCTCTTGTGTGCCAAGAGAGACTGTATTATAAAAGTTGATGTGGTTTTGGGGACGGAAAAGTTGGCAAAATTTTCCCTTATGAGATGATGGGTTTAGGATTTCGCTCTTTGGCTGAAAAAGTGCCAGTAGCGTCCGAGTCAGTACTTGGTCACAGCAGTCAGCAGAGGCGTCAGTGCTAATGGCCATATGTTGGGGATGAGAGGGCCAGGTCTCAGCTGGGGAGGTGTCTGTGAGCAGCTTCATGGTGAGGGCTCTCTGACCTTGAGCTGCGCCTTGGTGACCAATGGCGGGTAGTGCCAGCAGGTGTGGGAGGTGGTCAGCACGGGAGCCCTCCACTTAAAAATCCAGGAAAGGCGTTGATGCCAGGAAGGCCGCTGGTGTCCTCCCACCTCCAAAGTGCTCATCCTGTCCTTGCTAGGTGCTGCTGCCCTGCCCTGGACCACTGCGCTGCCGCCTTTGTAATGTGGGTCCAATCCCCCTCGTCCTAGCCCAGCCTACTCCTAGTTATTTATTTCATACCATTTAGAAGTGCTACTTGTTGCCAAGGTTTTTTACCCCTCTTTTCCTCCTTATTTGCCAGCGACAGCCACACGCTGTTACAAGACCTCAGTTACTAAGGTAGCCATGGCAACAGCCTCCTTGGAGGTCTTTGTTGCCTGCTAAAACTTTGATCTCCAAGAAGGGCTGCTGCTGTTTCTCCCTCCAATTGAAGAGAAAGATGGGAAGAAAGAATAAAGTTTACTCCAAGCAGAGGGAGCACGGAGGAACTCATTGCAGAGCCATCCTCTGCCCATAAATCTCACAGCAGCTTCCTTGGCAAAGTATCTGATTTACAAGGGCCACACTTCCTCTCCTACGCTTTCCAGGGCAGTGTCCCATGCCAGGAGCCTCTTGCCGTGGCACAGGTTGACACATTTTTCCAGCACTGAGGAAGAAATAGTTCCCCCTGTAGCTACTGCCTCCCATGGCCCCACTGCTTGCAGGTAGGGCTGTGGAGGCAGCCCTCAACAGGGAAGCCAATTCAACAGTTATTCCCATATTACTCAATATTTATCACATCTATGCAATTGCCAGTATTTACCATGTTCCCTTATTTACTCAATTGCCATGTTCCTGACTGCACCTGCGCCTGCTTTATTCATATCATCGTTTCTTTTCAGCTGCACCACTTACCCCAATTATTTTTGTGTCTTTTCTCTGCAGACTCTCTGCTAATTGTCTGCTTGACTCCAGGTCCTCCCTGATCTGCTGCTATTTGCTCCCTCGCTCTGCCACCCGCCTGCCTCCTGTGTATTGACTTCTGTCCTCGCTCACCTCTTCTGTACCTCTGCACCTTCTGGAGCCGCTCTGCGCCCCCTCAGCTTTTCCCCTCCCATTCCTCCTCCTGCCCTCCGCCAGTGCAGCCCGGGGGCTCCCTCGCGCTTCGAGGCTGGCCGGGGCCTGGGGTGTGCGGGGTGCCTGGTGAGAGGCCGCTGCGGGCGGGTAAAGCCCCGCAGCAGCACGGTGGGAATAGAGATGGGAGTGTGTCCCAGATCTGTGCTGGAATGAGGACAAGCTCCGAGCTCCAACGGAGCTGCCTGGGACAACCCTGGTAAACAGGGCCATCGTCTGTTCCCTGTTTCCCCCGGGGGTGTCTGCTGGGGCTCGGTGGTGAGAGCTTGCACAGAGGATGCGTAACCCTTGTGGGTGGGGGCACAGAGCTGTGACTTGGCAGCCAGGCCCAGCCATGTCTCGGGGTGCCTGCGGTCCTCTTTCTCAGGCGGGCAGAGCCGCCTGCAGAGGTAGTGTGGCCAGATGGTCTTTTGGCAGGACGTTTTACTAAATTGTTTTCTCCCCACCAATTGCTATCTAGTCTCAGCCCTCCACTTAAAGTTTCCTGTAAAAAAAAAAACCCAAGAGAAAAGTGAGGTGAGCTTAACGCCCATGGAAGGAGCAGCCTCGGCACAGAGGGAGGGCACTGGCCGTGGGTGCTGTGGCTGCCTCCTGGATGGCTTTCCAGCTATGGGTCCGAAAGGAGGCCTTGCTCACTGAAACTCTGCCACAGCTTCAGGCACTGCACGACAGACGGTGGTGCCATCCTGGGCTCCCCTCCGCCGGCTGCTGCCTGGCTTTGGGGCACGGCCATGCCCAGGCCAGGCTTGCACAGGGTGGGCAGGTGGCCCTTGCCCACCCCGAGCCACCCTGTCCCTGCTGCACTTGTTGCTGGTGGCAGCAGCAACGGGAGGAGGAAAGTGGCAATGGGAGGAAGGAAAGTTGCCTTCAGTGAGGGACAGTGGTGGGGAGCCTCCCATTGCCATGGCAACTGCAGGGCAGCCATAGTAGCGGGCAGCCCCAGCCTGCTGGCTTCACCCGCTAAGGGGGAAGCAGCATAGTGTGGGGAAGGGTTATCAGTGAATTAATTTGGCCTAGGATGGGGAGGGGGTGCACTGAAAGCTGCTGAGGGCACGGCAGTCCAGAGGTGGGCTTTGGGCTTGCTGGCTGTCAGCTGGGGCTAGTCAAGGCGACAGCGTTCAGGCTGAGCCATGGTGGGGTTCGCTGCTGCTGCGGGCCCTCCCGCGCTTTGTGCATCCCCGCTGCTGGCTCCGGGGCCCCCGGGCTACGTGAGCCCCGCTGGCAGGGCAGGGGAGCAAACCCCCCAAGCAGATACTCAGAGCCGAGTGAGGCTGCACAAGCAGGGAAATACCTGGCTGCTTGTAGGTAGCACAGAGGAACTACTTTGGTTATCTTTGTAACGACTTACCAGGTTCTCAAGCACTGTTATTTTTGAGGAATGCTTCTTCCCCCTTGAACATGTGCTTCCTCCTGGCAATCAGGAGGCACCATAAGACCCAGCACTAGCAGGGATCAAGGCTCTTTGGTTAGGTTCAAAATAAAGCAGGTGCTTATTTGGACTCATGAGATGTACCTTCTGTTCTTCATAAGGTGTCACTCCCTTACCTCTGGTACCACAAATCCCAGCTCTAAGTTAGCTATATACCTCCAGCTATTTGTCCATTGGCATCTGCACTCAGGCTAGGGCTGCACATAGCTCGTGCAGAGACAGTAACATGTGGGAGGCAAGCTGCATGCCCATGTCTGATCATATGTCCTGTGTGCATGTGGTTTATGTGTACATTGTTTACATACACACACGCAGGCCTATGAAAGAATTGCGTATTTTTTTGTGTGTGCTAGGAAGATAAGGAATATATTTAATATGCACATGAAACATAATGTAAATCTAGCATGCTGTGACACAAGGTATACGTTTAGTGCATGTGTTTGGAGCCCACTTGTGGCACCAAAGACTTAAGCCACACATATGTTGTATACATGCCTGTATCTTGTGAGCAGAAAGCGTACATGAGCACTTTCCCATAACAAGCTAGTTGTGAGCAGTTTGGACACTTGATCCTTCCAGACAATGGACTGCAAAGAATGTCCTGAAACGCTTTGTATATGTAGATGAAAATGCTGCAGTAGACTGATGGCAAGAGTCCTTCTTCAAAATAGTAAATGAGGAACAATTATCTGAAGGATCACCATAGTATCTTTTGCTAAGGCTTCAGGAGCACCTCGTCTTGATGGCATTACTGTGAGTACTAGACAGCTTTGATGAGTTGCAACTGGTTGCAAAGCACTGACTGCATTTAGAGTACGTTTATTATGGCTCCAGCTCCAAAAATCCTTGTGGATTTTTGATCTTTACAGAATCTCTGCTGAAGCACTGAGTAAAAATGGACAATGGGAATTTGCTTATAACATGCTTCAAGGACAGACTAGAGACCAAGGAACTTGGGATCCAGTTCATCATTGTATCTGAGTGCTGCTTAGTGCAGGACCTGAAGGGCATGTGGGGAGGTTAAAGGTAGTTTTCTACCACTTTTGCACTAGCTTACCTGTAGCAGCTTCTGTTATATGCATAATGTATGTCTCTCTTCAGAGTGCAGGTCTCCTGCCTTATGCATGTCTCTAAAAAACCTAACATGACCCTGGTGCTGTATGAGAGTATGCAGCACAACTGCATGTAGGGCTGATGCACAGGTGTGTGTAAATTATATCTGAACACTGTACAGGATGCTTGCTGTGTATTAGAAATATCTTAGACATTCAGTGCCAAAACAAATAGGCACCAAGCTGCCTGTGGACTTGGATTTTGCTTGTATTCAGTTATAAATTAGAAGCTGACTTGCCTTTTTTTTTTTTTTTTTTTTTTCCCTTTTGCAAAATGATTCCACAAATTATTCCACACATTTCTACATGAATCCTTCCCTGGTTGGTTTGCTTCGCTTGAGAGTTGGCCTTATATCACACAATCTCATCGAGTTGCTTTTGCATCTTGAAATAAGTAGCACATACTCACAGTCATGCTTCAAGACTCCTTTTCGGGAGCTGTCTCTGCAGTTGCACAGCCCCACATGGAGAGCAACGCCCATGGATGTTGGATGCATGTGGCTGACTTGTCAAGGGCCCTGGGTTATAGATTTTTCACATCTGTCCAAACTACATCAGTACATTTTTGAAGTAAACAATCCTTCTGTTTGAGGGCTGTTGTGCATTTCCAGGAGCTTTTTGCACGTGTAGAGCGTAACTCCAGAAAGATGTTACCGTGTAACCATGCTAAGAGGACCTCCATCTTCTTGTCATTTTGTGCCTGGATTGGAGCAGCTCTGTTCCAGATTCTTTTCCGCCAGCTCTGCTGATAAAGGTAAAATGCAAGGACACAGAAATGGCAGAAGTGCAGAGGCAGACACCAGGCATCGAGCAGAATGACATCTATGGCCGATAAGAATTCGCTTAACAGCGTGCAAGTGGGCTGATGAGGAAGGGGACTGGAGGCTAAGGCAGGGGCTGGGGAGTGTGTTTTTCTTGCAGTAACCTCTCTCCTTGTTCTCCTCCTTCTGTCTTTTCTAGGCAGGACAGGGCTGCTTGCTGATCTCTTGCCCAGTTTTGCTGTGGAGATTATGCCAGGTATTCAGTCATTTCACCCTTCAATCACCCAGTCCTCTGTCATCTTGTCTGTTTATCCTTCTGCAGCATCCTTATGTGGTGTACATTTCACTTTTATGTGTGTTTTATTTGGTGATAAAAAGAGAAAAGCCTATTGCTTACTGGGAAAGTGTGTTGGGTTGAGATCTGAGAGAGCTGATGCTGGGGGTGGAATGGCCATGCTGGGAGCCAACATACAGAGATGGTTGATGTCATGCCAGGATCAGTGTGAGAGCAGAAATGCCAGCACTGTTGAGGGGAGGTTTTATATCAAGCTCTCTGCTCTACCCCTGCTAGCACAAAGGTAACACTGCTCCAGCCTGCAAGACCTCGGCAGCCTCATGTGCCCGTATGGCTTTGTACGTCAGCTGCTCTTGTGCAGTAGTAACTTCCGCTCCCCAGACCCTATCCTGTGGGTACCGTTATAGCCATCGCCACAGATGGTAGCACAGGAGGTGCTAGAAATAGAGCACTGGTTAGCAACCCATCAGTGGCATAGCCCCTCTTGTGCTGCATGGCCAGGGCATTATCTAGGTAACACCAGGTGGTTGGACCAGACATGAAAGCTCTGTGCCCATGATAAATCTCTTGCTAGCCAAACTAATGAGAGCCACCAGTTCTGGCACTCCTTGCAGAGGAAACAGAGACTGTGCAACAGATTGTCCTTGAAAGGGAAAAGCTGTGAGAACATTTAGCCCTTCAGGTCATCTGATCATCCCCTGACGGTGCCCAAGGAGTGTTTCTTTCACACGTTTGTGCAAAAACGCAACTCCAAATAAATGTGCGAAGCTATTTTCAAGTCTGTCCTAGAGATGTGAACAGAGAAAAGGCAGACTGTCCCCTATCTCCAGGGTAACACAAAGCTCCCTGAAAGTTCAGTATGGCAGGAGAGAGGGATTGGTCTTTTCAGCATAGACAGAAGTTGATTCTCTGTTGCCTAACACTTACTGTTCCCCGCTATTTACAATTTTACTGAATGTCTATAAAATTCATGTGTGTTGGCTAGGTAGCTTTCTGGTACCCTTACTGCATGGGTATAAACAAGCAGAAAGTGTAAAAGGCAGCAGAAAACCACATTTTAGCTGTTAGCGCTGCCTGTTACCTGAGTAAACAAAAGCAGATGCTTCTGCAAGTATGGAACAGTAGTTTCCAGACAGTGAGGACACATAGCATTTCAGTGTGGTAGTCATTTGAATCTCAGGGTTACACAGTTGTATCTGGGACTGGTTGAATCCCAGTTTTGTGCATAAAGGAGGAGCCAGCAGGCTCTTCTGGTGTTTTCTTAACCTCTTCAGAGAAGCAAATGGTCTAACTTCCTGTGAAGTAAAATCCTTCCTGATTGATAGGTCCCTGTGACTGGGACACTGGTTTCAAACATCCACTCCTGGTGCTGAGTATCTTGCAATGTACAATGTACATGCTAACCTGACCTCCTTTTGTACTCCTGGAACATTTTTAGAGACCACAGATACAGTTACGATGGACTTGCTGTTTGGTTTTTTCCTCTGCCAGGCTTTTATCGTTTATGGACTGACTGTGAACTGTTCACTAGTAGCTCTGGAGATCTGACATCTGAGCTTCGTTACATAGCTGCGGCTGGCCACTTCTGTCATGCAATACTATTTCACCACCTTCTCTGTATCAGTCATGGTTGTGGAGAACAAGATGAGAACATGACAAAGGAAAAAGCCACTAAGCTGTTTTCCTGCTCAGATTGGCATGGATTAGGAAGTACAGGACTGGAAAGGATAGCCTGACTCGCTGTCTTGCGTGCTATCCCGAGCGCCATGTAATTTCCTCCTTTCCGTAAGCTTAGCAAGCTTAAGAGTAATCTGGGTTTGGCCTTTCTCTCTCCGTTGGGTCGCTTTCTTTGATGTGCTGCTTCTAGCTTCCATCTACGTTACGCATAGCCTGTTTATGCTCATTATATGTAAGACCTTTAACTATAATACCTTCTTTTTCTCTTAGCATTCATCCTCCTAGCATATTTACAGGCAGCAGCTACTTCTGCTCTCAGCCTTCTTTTTCATAGGCTAACACAGCAAGCTTCAGCTCTCCTGCTGCAAGGCAGGCTATCGAGTCCCTTCATCCCCTCGATTCCCTGCTTTGCCTCAGCTCCAACCTGAACTCATCTTTTCTTGTACAAAGATGACCAGAGCTGTATAACATCAGTAACTTCAGATGAAGTTACATGGAGACCTTGTATGATGGCATTAATATTTCCCTAACACTACTGGAAATTCCTCCTCTATTGGGCATAGGATTACATTTGCCATTTTTGTGCTGTATTGCGTAAGTGGTTACAGTTCTCCTATGATGGAATAGTATACTGGATCATTTCTCTTGTTTTTCAGTTGTTTTCTACTAATGGAAGCCCTGTTTAGAACTGAAATTGTTCTTAATATTTGAACATGTGACGTTGAAAGTATTGCTGCATACCTTGAAATTCAGTATATTGCTGCATTTCATGTTTCTTATTGTAGGCTCAAAGACAGCTGGCCCTTTCTATAATATATCCCAGTCTTCGTCTTTAGTGACAATGCTTCCCTACCTCTTGCTCTCAAGATACATTAACACATTCCTATTTTCTGTGTCGAGGTCATTCATGAAAATATTAAATAAGATAGATCCTAGAACCAGCACTTGAGGAACTGTATCAGTAATCTCCTCTCAGCTCTTACTTTTCCATTCATGAAGTGCTTCCCTCCATTTCTGTATTCATTAGCCGAATTTTTCTCAGCATATAGTAACTTCACCAAAAAAAATTATTCCACAAGGACCAAAATTATCTGCAAATTTAAGTGAAAATCATCTGTTTCAGCTGAAAAAGAAATAAAATATTCAAAAAATAGAAAACATTTCACTTGGCACTTCTGAAATGAAGTGTTTTGATTTGTAAATGCCAGATCTTTCACTGACATTTTTTAAAGGAAATCTTTAACTTCTAGATTAAAAATGGCATTAAAAGGAATTGTTTGGAAAAGAGTTAAGGAAAACTCCAACAAAGCAAAGAATTTTACTTTTGTTCAAACAGAATGCTGTGGATGAATCAAAAATGACACTTCTTTTTGCATTTTATTCAGAACTAGTGAAAACTTCTGTTTTGATTATTCCAAGTGGAACATCTTTCCTTGACTTCCCAGCTTAGCAATGCAGATGAGAGGTGCACTATTTTTCCAGCATGATTCTGTACTCACATTGCAATCCTTGTGTCAATACTTTTCATCTTAAATGTACCAGGAGACCCCTTAGTGAACGCTGGACTTCTGTTCGGAAGCAAGTGGTCTGCTTCTTGTTTTTTCTCTGGGGTAGGGGGGTAAACCCTACCCCACTGCAAAGCAGCCCCACCACTTCTTTCTCTGCTTTCTTCCCATCTTTCCAAGGTGGTTGAATAACCACCTGGGTACACCTGGAGTCTTTCCCCACCAGCGGTCTGACTTCTAGATAGGTTGGTGCATCTCTCTGATGTAAAACGAACTCCAGGCCTCCTCTACATTCAGAGTCTTGAAATTTCTTGGTCCCAATGTGTTCACTGACCATTTCCTTAAGCCAGGGAGCTCCCACGTGGCAGTGGGCACAGCCCTGTGCATGCAATCCCCTGCAAAGCGCAGGGTGGCCAGGTGCAGAGCTGGAAGCTCCCACCACGGCTGCTGCCGCTGCAGATCTCCCAGCAGCAAAGTTTGAGAAACCTTTTCTCACTCCCGCTCCCCTTCCCATTCAAACCCCATCCTGTTTTTTGTAGACCAGCTCTTCTGTGCTTTCACTTGTAGGGTGTTTTTCAGCTGCTCCTTTTCGGGGCCTGGCAGCCATCATCTGAGGCTTCGGCGGGGAGGGGGGAAGTGGTTGTTAGGTTTCCTGGCTGGCTGCAGTGCCTGAATAGGATGTTCGTTCGGCACATTCAAAAGAATAATTGCATGCGTGGGCCTAGTTGCGAAGGGGCAGGCCTGGCTCATTTACTGGGCTATTTATAGCCTGCTTTTCACCATCGTTTGTCCCATTAAAACTAGAATGTGGGTAGGGAACAAACACACAAGCTGGGCATGAACATGGCCAGGAAGAATGAATCTTTCATGAGATCCAAATGCTAATAGAGCATGTCCTGTGGCATTCATACAGGTCTGCTGTGATGTGAAGGGTTTTTGTGCTGGGGAACCGGAGCTCCTACCTCTGTGCTGCTTGCCTCTCAGCCAGCCAGAGACGTCGCAATAAGGGACGACATTTCTGTAGCTCCATTTCTCACTGTCATGTGCCATTTCTGCTTCGACACAGAGGGGGATGTAGTCCTAGACCTGCAGGGAGTCAGTCCACTTCTATTATTCACCTATCTGCTTTGCCCCTATGCTCTCCCCTGGGAGGATGTTGCTGACGTTCCCTTCCACAGTGATTGCAATCCTGTAAGTATCTCCCTTTCTTCCCTTGTTTTCCAGAGTGGGTCTTTGTGGGCCTGGTGATCCTTGGGGCGTTCCTGTTCTTCCTCCTGGTGGGGATCTGCTGGTGCCAGTGCTGCCCACACAGCTGCTGCTGTTACGTCCGCTGCCCCTGCTGTCCTGAGTCCTGCTGCTGTCCCCGGGCATGTGAGTGACCCTGTCCAAGCCTGATGCAAATCTTCTCATACACTTCTGCTCCCTGGCTGAACAGGAGGAGAATCTGCTAATATTGCTTCCTTTGCCCTGAGCACTTTGCTTGACTGAAGAACTAGTTCTCAGGGGGTAAAGCATCTGACCTATTGCTCAATGGTTGAGTGCTCAAAGTTAATTACAAATGTAATTCTCCAAGCCCTCCCCACCTTGGCAGCTGTGCCTCCTTCTCCAAAGTGTCATGTTCCCCTTCCAATGTTGTTTGTTGTGTCAGTGAATTTTGTGGGTCAGAGCTAAGAGCATCCTGGGAGGTTTCTTCCTGGCAATGCAAAGCAGCTGCCCTCTACAACAGTGCAAAATCCTTGCAACCCAGCAAGGTTCCTGGTCAGGCTGAGGCACATCTGTTGAGTTTCATGAGCCTCATCCCTGCTACTTGAGGCATCAGTTGTTTTTAAAGCTGAACTGCCACTAAATCATGGCAGCGGTAATGCTGGCTGTAACATGCTGAATGTCCTTCGGTTGCTGGGCATCTTGCAGTGCTCATCTGATCTGCCATGTGCATTTTTTAAATTCCTGTCAGCGCCCTTTGAGGCTTAAAGAAATTCAGATTGGTCCTTGTAATTTCATTTGTGCAGTTGTCTCCTGCTGGGTTGTCACCAGTGTTGGTGATGTGCAGGTTTCGGCCACGTGCCATGTGAGTCAGGGGGAGGCTGGTGTGATGCTGACTGCTGTTCTTTTTCTTTTTCAGTGTATGTAGCAGGCAAGGCAGCAAAAGCTGGGTACCCTCCTGCAGTCTCCTCCATGCCAGGTCCATACTACATCCCCAGTGTTCCTGTAGCTGGTGTCCCGTCTCCTGCTGTGCTGATGGATAAGTCTCATCCCCCTCCGTTAGCGCCAGGTGACTCCAGTGGAGGAAGCCAAAATGGTAATTTGCAGTGCCAGGCACAACGTTCAGGCTCGGAAAAGGAGGAATGATTGTCAGTGATAGAATGGTATGAACAGAAGAAAGACAGAGAAACTGCATTTTAATCCTGATTCTGACAGTGATGTTTGCATCCCTTAGAGCCACATGGTCCAATTTTTCTAGTGCCATTGGCACATTGACAGTTTGTGGGTGCCTAATTTGGTCAGCAGGGAATGGGAGGCCAAGTTCATGCCCTAGACCCTTCTCATTAGTGCTGCAAACCTTTATTTGCAGGGCAGAACAGGATAAAGATGGTTGCAGGAGAGCAGAGGCAGTGGCCTTTTTCCCCTTAGAGCTGATGCCTTGCAAGCTGCTCTGTCTTGGTAAACTGTTCGTCCTACCCTGTGTAGGGTAGTGCTTGCCCACTGGCTGCAGTGTGTTTTACTGTCCCCATGGCATTTTGGGCACAGAGTTACGCTCCCTAGGCATTTCTGCCCAAGAGCATTTGGGGCTGGACCCCTCCCCTACCTTACAGAAGTCAGTAGGTCGCTTTTTTTGTTCACCCTTTGCATTTGTGATATGTGAGTGATAAAAGATTTCTAACTAGAAAGGAGAAAGGGAATTGAGTGCTCCCTCAGTAAGTT